TGAATTGATAATGTATAACCCCTTTTGAAACGTGTTATGTCTTTATGCGTTGTAATACGGGGTGCTTCAAAGTACACATGATTATTACTGAAAATTGAAATTCGAATTAAAGCATTAATTTAAGAGTTATTGGGTTTAATAATAAAATAATATTTAGCTTTTATACAGCGCTTAATACAATGTCTCTCAGCGCTTTACAAATATACTATAATCCCGGTCATTGGATTCAGTGCTTGCCCGCACACACTGTGTGCACAATCTCCACTCCCTGGGGAGCATTCCAGCCAGGCGTTACTTGACGCTCAAAAACTGTTTGACCAACAATGACGGGTCGTTGACCAACAATATTCTAAACATGCCTAATAATAATATTTTATTAATTATCTCAATTATAACCCCTTTCTGATTATCTCCAAAATTGTCTATTTTGCTGATTCTCTTAAAGCTTATGTGCCGTAGTTTACAGGAGGGATTAGACTGCCCTGCAAGGTCACTGGACAGGTGGTTATCTCATCAACTCAGCTCTCAGTTAACATAAGAAAAGAGGATCATGGGGGACCAATGGTCACCGATAAAGCATTGTTTGTTATATAGAGGGCGCAAGTAGCTACAAGTAGTGCAGTGGGCCTTTAATAGTCCATGGGCCAAGACCAGAATTATAATATAGGATAATAAGAAGATAATTAATATGATAGAAGGATTTTATTCTTATTATATTGGCTCATAATGTTTCATTTCACTAGAACTATTGCATCTTCGTGTTTGTATACAAACTTGGCAGACATGACTGACATTTCCAAAACATTATGCTCCTCTAAAAGAAACCAAAACGGGACCCCTTCAACCTCACATGGCAGAAAGAAAAGGAGAGAAAAGATCTTCTTCTCTTTCTTCACCAGCTAGCAGATTACACCCATAAACACTTCCATACACCTCCTTCTCATCAAATCTGGCGGATCTCGAGTCGAAATCCAGATCAAATTCAATGCAACACGACCTGGATAAAGCTATACCAATTGGAAACCCTGTGGAACAATAGCTCCACAAAGAATATACCTGCTACATGTAATACCCTTTTCTAAATTTAGCCTCACCGCCACGACCAATGTACTTTTCTATCAGGTGAACAGAGCAGGCGAACTTATTATTATTTCTCTGTTTTCCCGCGCGCAACCTGCATGCAATTTGTTCGTCTTTATAATCAACATGTGTTCGGACTAACATGGCTCTAAAAGTACGGATTATGTTGTCATGGTAATGCGTGTCTTTATTACGTCAAGAGCCAAAGTGAAGATTTGTTCTCACAGAAAAGTGTGATCATTTTTTTTTTCTATAAAAGTTTAACAAACACTTGAATCACGATGTTTGGTGACTTCGTAAGTGATTTTTAGCCATTTTCTCTGAAATGGGCAGGCAGCTTTGGAAAGAATCCATCAACTCCGAGTAACACTTTTTCCAGGTGGGCCTCGAACCATCGGGGTATCATTTCCTTAGGATTCCATTAGCTTTGGTAAAAATATGTTCATATAAATAGGGACAGATGTAGAGCTACAGAAGGAAAGCGACGTTTATTTTGACAAAGTTTTAATAGGTTAAATGAGGTGAAAGCCCCCCCCCCCCCTCTTCATTGTAATGAAGACCTAATTATAAACAAAATATTTCATCTCTGCGGAGAAAATGCTATCTAGCAGGAAGCAGTAATGTTTACTTGAAAGTCCACAGGATCATGCTTCAGTCGTATTTGACCATCATGCAAATAATCCACTACAAAATGAAAATATGTTTTTGTTTACAAAATCTCGATATTACCCCCAACCTATGGCCCAAACTAGTAACTGTTGTCACTTCGTCACTTTGAAGCCTTCATACAGACCGGATTGATTTAACATTTGATCTGCAAGAAAAGCAACTCCATTAACTGCGAATATTTGGGCGTTCTTGTCGGAGAATATTCCGCAGTTATTTGAATTTACACCAATCAAGACCAAAATTAGTCTTTTTCTCGTCTGTCATATTCGTGATAAATTTGTTTATGTCTTCGTTGACACAGACCTAATCCGTATTGATTTCAATAATGTAAGTAACGGTTGGAATCGAGACTAGCGTATTATCCGTGGGCTTGTGGATGATATTGAGTCTCATGATGGACGCAGCAAGGGATCGGTGGTTCCTGTATGAAGACATCACTACTTGTGACAGCTCTACAAAAAGAAGGAAAGAAACCTCGCAGAGCGCTTCACGTTGCTGTAGAGGAAATTAGCTGGGTTCCCATCGAGAGATACAATGAAACGTCCAGTAGGTTGTACAATGGTTGGAGCAGAGAAGGATGGAGTGGGATTGACTCTGAGAGAGAGAGAGAGAGAGAGGGAGAGAGAGAGGGAGAGAGAGAGGGAGAGAGAGAGGGAGAGAGAGAGGGAGGAGGGGAGGGGGTACCAAACTATGAAAGCAGATCGGACGTGTGGCTTAAAAAGAACATATTCTTTCTGGTGTTGTTTTGTAATCGGTTTATTGTTGGCCAAAATTGGTTTATTCTCTCATCATTTAAATTGTTGGGCTAAAAACAGGTTGAAACGCACCCGCCCCCCCCCCCTCCCAGGGGAAAAACGTCATAGATAAAGCAGATTATGAAAGATGAGAAGAAGATGACATCCTTTATACTAAAATTAAGGTAAGTTAACCAACATTCATTGAACTAACGCCGAGAGGAACATTGAGGGACAGTCCCTATTATAAGTAGGACGGAGTTACCTTTTAAGATTAAGATCAGGATTTAAGGATCAACTTAGAAAATCTACTTTCTCACCTTCCAGAGGAGAATGGACCAGATTTGAAAAAGGGTAAAATGTTCGTCGGCGGTTCGTAACAGCTTGCGATCGGCTGGTAAAAGCATGAAAAAGAGAGACATGTGTACATCGTTCAACACATGAGCGAGTCACGCGTTTTAAAATGTAAACAAAACCACAATAATTACAAAACAAAATAATGTTAAAAACAAAAACAAAACAAAATTCATTTGACAAAGTGTATATCGGTTGTTTGGAGCCAGAAGGGCTTTAATTCATATGGGCCTTCTTTTAACACAACATTAATACTCTTCATGTTTTGAATAGATGATAAAGTGTGATATTAAATAGATTCGTCAACCAGTTCAATTCATATTCGCATATTAAAAAGCGCAAGTTACCAAAAACGTTTTTCAGCATGAGCTCATCGCTGTTATTGTCTTGTTTCCATTTTGAATACATAATCATCCCTAAAGTTCTGATAGATTCTGGGAAGAGAAGTTGAGGACCTGGGGGGTGTTTCACTAAAGCCCTAAAATCGATCTAAAATCGATTCGATCGATTTTAAGGGCTTAAAATTGATTTCGATTTTAGCAGCAGTTTCACTAAATAAATAAAATCGATTTTGGCCTTAAAATCGATTTTAAGTTAGAATGTGATCCATATCAATTTTAAATCAATTTTATCCTTATTCATTGCATTATTGATATGCTATGTTCAGCATTCATTGGTTTCAAAGGCGCAAGTGTCGGCTAGCTTCAATTTGAACATACATCTGAAAATGAAGAATTATGTTCTTGGGGAAACAAATCTTTGTTCATAACCAATTTTTTTTAAAATCATCATAGGTAGGCACTAATAATACCAAATGTGGCACTCTGGAGGAGGGGGAGGGAGAACAATGGCCCATTTTTTTTCTTCAAAAATACATGGGCGGCCCGTTTTTCCCTTAACCCTATCTATCCTGGGGGGGGGGGGGGCCTTATCCAGCCGGCGGCACGGGGAGGGGGCCCAATTCGTAAGACAATATTTAGCAGCGAAACAGCCGGCCGATAATTCACTCAGTGGGGGGGGGGGGGGGGGGGGGGGGGGGTAGTGAACAATAAAAAAAAAATTAGAGCGCCAGGGGAGGGGGCCCATCTCCAAAAAAAAAAAAGGTACAGTTAACGTGTTCTTACACGTTTTTTCTCCAGGGGAGGGGGCCCGGACACCCCAGGCTATGCAGTTTCAAAATAACCCACGCTAGATAGGAGTGCCCCTTTTACATCTGATTAACATCCCTTTTTGTTTATTACAAGTACACTTTTCCTTCATGTAGTTTGTCCCGTTTCACTTTGTTTTAAAGTTCCTCTTGTTATTTCTAATAACTTTTTATGTTTTCTTCTTAGAAGTGACCCTTTTCCATTTTGTTATGTGCCCCTTTTTCTATATTTTTTTTTACCATATGCGCTTACAATTATGTGTCCTTATTTCTTTCATATTCTCTCTCTCTTTCTCTCATTAACATAAAACGACACTCCCATCACAACGCTTTGCTTGCCGTAATTTTGTTTCTTCATGAACACCCCCCCCCCCCCCTTCCCCCACAAAAAAATTAATAAAGAACAAAAATGAATAAATAAGCACCTACTTATAACAATAACTCGCCAGCATACAAACACACCATTCTTGAATCACATCATTGCCCTTTATCATCATGTAATTATTATCACCATGCGCTAGCATACAATCTCATCTATTCACCCCCCCCCTTTTATCTTCTTAAAAGTCAAAAAATACATACAAAATAAAATTAACACAGATTTTAAAGTATAATCAATATGTTTATGCTTTAATGAATGAAATCTACATTTTGTAAATGATGAGCATAGCGAACACATTCAAGGGATACAATTACAATATTTTAAATGACACAAATAAAAGTGCTCCTATGAAAGTATCAGCCAGTTGTTAAAACTACTGCAGCTGATATCTGCCACTCTCTATTCGAGTTACCTTTATGGAGATTAAAAGAGTAATACTTGTCACAAATATTTCTGTTACTCATACGGTTGTTAATCTAAGGATGATATACATTGTCATGTAAGGTCACGCAGTCGGTGAGAATGTGGTTTCTTGATGCAATAGTTTGTCTATATGAAATTAATCATCAATTCTTTTCTATCAGCTTTGACACAAAATTCTAAGGACAACATAAGTCAGAGTTAATATATTTCCTGCAGGAAAAATGTTTTCACTCAATCACAATGTTCTGTTGTTTATTTTGTATTTGTTTTTGTGCAATTGCTACAATAGCACTTTAAGCACCAACAGGTAATTATCGATACATAGGCATGCAAGAAGTGCCTCTAGGAAGAGTTCCAAATAGGTCATCAAACTGCTGCTCAGATGAATTGCTAATTAAGAAATTCCAATTTGATATTTTAAGATTTATTGCCATGAACAAAATTATCTATGTAATGTGAGTTTGGTAACAATAACCTCCATGACAGAATAATAGCTTTTTATTTCTTCTCTTTTCTTCTGCAAGATTCTAAAATTCTGTTTAAAATATAGGAAATCTTGGAAGTATCAATAAAACGTTTACTTCCTTTAAAATATTTTATGTTAACATTTTATCAAACCCAAAACCTCAAACTCGATGGCAAAATTTTAGTACCTTGACTAGAGCATTTTTAATAGCTTATAGGAATTAATTTGTAAATCTTATTTTACAAGTAGTGTTGGTTGTAAAAAGTGACCAGTCCATGATATCAAGATCTGTATCTCATTGTGGTTCCTCTTGCTTAAAGCTGGAAAACAGAGCTTCTATCTGTAGGCTGGCTGATGTTTCATAAGAAGCATAACGTTGCAGGTAATTCAGGCTCTGCAGTCTAGAATAGGAATTGAAAGTTATGTAATAAATGAATCAATTACTAAATACTAGTACAACTTTTCAATCAATCTTCAACTTTTGTATTTATGATTATTTCAAATACTTTAATTACTAAATAAATAAAGTAGGAGAATAAAAAATAGTTACAGAAGATAAATGATTAATTGTTTGCTTTGGATAAAAAAAAAAAATCCTTTCATTACCATTTGTGTATGTTTTATCTAACAGAATGGGTAAGATGGGTATTAGACTTCTTACAAGGATTATGAAAAATGATAGATCAATTTTGGTAATTGATACTGCTTACCTTTTCAATTTTGAAGAGATGGACAATAAATGTTCATTTGTCATGAACTAGCAGTACATGCAGATGCCATAGCTCTTTATTTTGCAACCTAGGATTTAAAACAGAGATACACATATTTGTTATGAAGAGAGCACATCTATTTTTCAGAAAAGTAATTGTCACTGTATCAAATGTGTTCAAAAGAACATAAGTACATTTTTATCAGTAATTACAACAGTAATTTACATGTATTCGGTCAAAGACATTGTTACCAACCAAATTGTAAGTTTTAGACATTTGGAAGATTGACTATGGAGTCTAATCTTGATCTCGGATACCCTGCTCTTGAACCAAACACTGTTGTACACAGATTCAATGAACATTCCCCTGTCGTGAGTAGAAGGCAAAGAGGTATAAAACAAACAGAGCAGCTTTCATCATACATATATTCTCATTACAGTTTGTTCAATCACCTCTTTATTCATTAATTGCTGCCCTATTATTTGTACAATATTAATCAGGCTGGCTGATGAAGTAATTTATCTATGATTTAGACATGTCATAGTTGACTTTTATGAAAAAAATTAGACTCTAGATCTAACGTTAGATCTAGAGTCTAATTTTTTTCATAAAATTTTACCTTCAAAACAATAATCCTATTGATTTTTAATAATTAGGCCCTAAGCCTAGCCCTAGGCCTAATAGATCTAGATCTATCATTTATAATTAGACCCTAGGCCTGGTCTAGATCTAGAGTCTAGAAAAGCTAGACCTAGACTAGACTAGTCTCTAGAGTCTCTAGATCTAGATCTAGGCCTATATCAACAAAAACAAGACAATGCTAAAATAAATAAGGGATGTAGATTCTAGATCTACTAGATCTAGTAGGGTCTATCTAGGGCCTAGGCCTAGATCTAGGCCTAGGTCTTGATTCTAAGCCCAAATTTACAACTAGTAGCATAACTAGTAAAACCACAATACTACTGCAAGAATAAACTAGACTAATGAGTTTGTACCTGTCTGTCCTAACCGAATAATAAACGTCGTTAGGTAATTACTATTGAACCTGCATGAATTTATATGAATGGGACTGAAATGGTTGAACCAGTGCAATTCGTCCACTTGGAGAGTGATATAAATTGATTTTATTTAAGATTTCGTTCAGTTACATAAAAATGAAATTGCATAATAATGAGAGGAACACTTTTCTTCTTATAAAATAACAGATTTGTTATCAACAGAATTGATATTTTCAAAGAAAAACAGATTTAACTTACTTTTCAAGGACTCTCACTGTAGTTAAGCAAGGCCATTTTGTGATCGATTTACCCTAAATTGACTAGCCTTGATTGCAGACACCTAAAAATCTATTTTAGCTTAAAATCGATTTGATGAAACAGCTCACATGTATCGGTTTTAAGCTAAAACTGATTCGGCCTTAAAATTGATTTTTAAAATCGAAATCGATTTTAGTTGATGAAACACCCCCCTGGTGTGATGGTGTTGGGAAAACGAAATGCAACTTAGTGACATGTGAATCTTATATGGGAAATTGGAAACACACATCGATATTCTATTTTCAAAGTAGAAATTTGAAACAGAGACGACCGCTTCCAGTAAACGAGTTCAGGGGGATGTTTCACAAAGACTAAGATCGACTTTAAGTTGGACTTAACTTTGGCAGGCAGTTCATGCCACTGTTTGCTCTTACCACTTACTGGCATTGGTCTCTGAAGGGACGTATACATCGTGGTCACAAATCTACAGCATATCCATTTTTTGATAGTTCATTATGGAAGGAAAAAATATGATCTACATATCATAATTGAGATACCAATAGTGAGAGCAACCAGTGGCATGAATGGCCTGTCATATGTAAGTCCAACCTAAAGTCGATCTTAGTTTTTGTGAAACATCCCCCATGCCCCCTTAAGTGACTTCGCAACGTAATCGAAACACTTTAATACAATATATCATGTGCAACACGAAATCACAACATATGTTTGATATTGAATGCTGAAGTTCTTGATATATTTTCGATGATGTGACATGTTTGAAAAAAGTACACATTCTTCATGTAATATATTGACTTTTTTTTTGGGGGGGGGGCACTTTCTTATAGTTTTGAGGTAGTCATATCAGCGAAGCTTGTTGTCTAAATGCCGTCAAAAGGGACCATATCGTACCAATTTGAACATTTTCCTTGGCTGTTAGTCGGAAAAGTAGATCAAAAACTTAAAACATAATCGGTGTACCGCCATATTTTTTCTTATTAAGTCAATTTTGTTAAACTAAGTATTTTCGGTGGTATTTCGATGTTGGTGGTCACACTCTAACGCATCTTTCTCGAATCAATGTAAAGCTCGGTATAATGTACCAGGGATGGGCGTCTGCCTCTACCGCATTCCTGAGATGTATTTTTAGTTTGCCATGAAGAAACTTGGATCAACGAGTGGAAAATACTAATCACTAAATTATGAGACGACCTGCAGTATAATAATAACCGGACAACTAGCAAAGACACTGGCATAGGATATAGTGGCATAACAAGTATTTTCCGCACGGGGCATTGGGGAAAAAACTTAAGATATTGGCGCTTTATAGGTTCCTGGATTGGATTGGATTGGATTGGAGTGTTAGAGAGTGTTATCACTTTATACATAAACTATGTATTATGCGATAGAGCGTATTGATTGGCTGATACATGCATGAAATATACATGTACATTCTGAATTTTGAAACTAACAAACAGTAATTTTGTATATATATTTTTGGGAGGGGGGAGGGGGAGGGGCACATTCTAAACCGTGAAAAGATGCCTATGATAGTTCACTCACTTTGTTGCAAGTTACAACATACGGTTATGTATTCCTTAGTCTCAAACCATAGCTAGTCAATTTCAATTCAATTTCAATTCAATTTCAATTTATTATTTCATAAAAAATCACATACAATATATAAACATTGAGAATTGTGCTGGATCATTTACACCCGATAAAGCCGATGGCTTGAGAGAAGTGGGTGGACCCATATAACATAAATGACAAATGTGTAAAATACAAAACATTAAAATTCACAATAAAACAAAAGACGTATACAGGACATTACAAACCAAAACACAATAATAATACAGAACGATATAATTTATAAGGTAATTGTATGTATCATAGTCTATCTTAGCCTGCCAATACCCAACAACATTTACTTGATATTTTTTACGAGAGTGTCTTTTGTATGTGATTAGCAATGAATATAGCTTCAGGTTTAGCTTAAAGGAAAGAACTTTATATATATATAATTAAAATAACTGAAATAAAAATCCTTGAGCGTTCACTTTTTCACTATGACCGGTTTCACTTATATTATATTAAAAAATAGAGTGAGAGAGAGAGAGATAGAGAGAGAGAGAGAGAGAGAGAGAGAGAGAGAGGGGGGGGGGGGGAGAGAGAGAGAGAAAGAGAGAGAGACAGACAGACAGAGACAGAGAGAGACAGAGAGACGGAGACAAAAAGAGGGAGTGGTGGAGGTAAGGATGTGATAAAAAATAGATTCTGGAAAGAAGAAAAAACACATAACGTAAACACGTAATAACATATCATCATTCTCTTCAGGAAGGTCGAATTCTCATTCTATTTATTGCTTTAGATGCCTCCATGTCCTCTGCAGTTTAAATGCAGAGAAAAGGCCTACGTGGGACCAATATAAGTACGCCTACTTTTAGAGAAATACCGACCTCTCTCTCTCTCTCTGTCTAGGTGCTCAGTTGTAGACGCCCCATCTCTTGTTTTTCCAGCATCAATGCAAATTACCTACCACTTACTCCCTGTAGACTCGAAGATCATGGACTAATTGGGATGCCTTTCTTTGTCTAATCCGATTGGTTTCAAGTTACCATCCCACGCGACAAGACAATGGGGATAGGAAGAGTTAAAGATGAAGTTGAGTTCTGGTCATGCGATTGCATTGTGAAAGAAACGGTGTGGAACCGACCAGAAAAGGTTGATCATCTAGCATATAAGAATTTCTGTGTATTGCAAGGTTCTGGAATCATCAAAATTATAAGAAATTTGGCCAAGTCTTGGTAAAGTTATAAACACTGTACACAGAAAGATGTATATGGGACTACACGTGGCGTAAAAATCCCACCCCCGAGTTTTACGATGTTACATGACATATTTAGAATATGAAGGCATTTGAAGAGCCATGCTTTTCAGGGAACATGTCTTATCTGATGTTCTTCCAGACTTGCATAATAAGAATGAGTAACGCTCACAAATTATTGTTCACCTCTTCCCAGAACTCAACCTTCTCTTTAAAGTCGTCCACGGTTTTAAAATGATAACATTTTGAAACTGATTTTTCTCTCAACTTTCATAGTGGACAGTTTCGGTCCCATTTAACCGATACGTTTAAACTTCCAAAGGTCCTGAGCGTTGAAAACGCAGAAATACATTTAAAAGAACTTAAAGACTGCCAAAATTGTTACACCTATATACCGATTCACTCTTTTGATCCAAGATTTCTTGGAAAATATATCCCGAGATATAGATTTATAAATTTGTAAGCCATGGAAACTTTGATATTTTTAGACATTGATGAATATTAACATGTTTAAAATAGCTGCAGCTGCATGATAATTTGGAGAGGTAGGTAAAATAATAAAAATCATGCGTTTCAATGCTTATCTTTGCGGAGAACGGAGAAGACAAAATGATAGGTAGAGGAATTTGGAGAATGTTATCATTCATATTTTCATTACACGTCCATGATAAAACGGTGGGTGGGTTTGGGGCGTGATCATCTAGCAATTTCCCACATACTATTCCTTCGTTTGTTAAGAGAAAAAGAGCCAGACAGACGTACAGATTTTCTTTTTTATCTTCCTATAGAGCTAGAAGCTCGAGAACATTTTAGGCATTTTTAATCTCTCTTTCTGGTACTGAATATGGAGAAGGCAAGGGTCTTTGGAAGAGGACTTCACTTTGTAGACAAGGGGACACTTCACTGTGGATATTTAAAAAATAATCAATTGAACATAGGCATTTATTTTAATTTTTTGTCACGTATGACAGACATGAGCGCTATACAAGAATCCACTATTATTATTATTATTAACTTATTTATTCATTTATCTATTTAATTGCTTTTTGTTTATATATTTATTATTATTATTTTGGGGATGTATGGTTTTTGTGTAGTTTACCCTTGGTATATAATGTTAAGGAAGAAAGAAAACCTTGAACACTTTTTAGGACTACCTGAACAACTTCAGACCAACGTTTCTCGACACATTTGTAAAGTACACTACTTGTATCGATAGGTTTCTGATGTAAGCATTTTCGGGTATAATCTGTTATCATTTTGATGTCACCGAAACCTTACCCCAAATTATCTGTCTTAATCAACCCCTCCGAGTCCCTTTCACGATGCAATCTCATAACCGGTAGGGTCTACTGGGCTTCATTCTCAATCAAAATATGGTTATACAAGGAGTGTGAAACAAAACTAAATTCTGGGTTGCACGGCACTTGCACCTATGACAATTTCTTCGCGGTAATTTCCTACAGTAAACGAAATCCAAACTTTAACACTAAAACTACCACCATGCTAAACCTAACCTAAAACCCACTTGTAACCCTAATACCAACTCTAACACTAAACCTATAAACCTAACACCCAATTGTAACCCTAATCCCAACTCTAAACCTAAAACCCAATTGTAACCCTAATCCCAACTCAAACCCTTAACCTAACCTAAAACCCAATCGTAGCCCTAATCCCAATTCTAAACCTAAACCTAACCTAAAATCCAATCGTAACCCTAATCCCACCTCTAACCCTAAACCTAACCTAAAACCCAATTGTAACCCTAATCCCAACTCTAACCCTAAACCTAACCTAAAACTCACTTCCAACTCTAATCCTAAACCTATCCTAAAACCCAACCCTAATCCCAACTATAACCCTAAACCTATCCTAAAACCCACTTGCAACCATAAACCTATGCTTTTGACGCCATGAAGCGCGGGCCAATTGTCGACAGAGCAACTTGGAGAACCAAATTGTGAGTTGCCTTTAAGTCCAATCTAGTGTATCTCTAAGGAGACGACACGTTAAAACAATCAGGTACCCAGCGTGTTTGGCGCCTAAATTGTTTGATGCTAATGCCTATCCGTAGGGTTCTCAGTCAGGTCTAGTCTAGTCTAGTTTAGACTCAAGATGGCATCAGTTCTTCAAGATATTGATAAGATGCGATTCACAAATCCTAATCAGTCACTTCGTGCATGGTCCGAGTAGTAAACTACTCTTAGACTGACCATTCAGACTCAGTAGTGCTTTCAATCTTCACAGGAGCATATGTCAGTACAACCAGGGTTGATTCAACTTGCAACAAATTCATTTCTAAAGGCCTTGGCAGCAGACTAGATTTAAAAAATGAAATTGAACTCATGATGATATCAAAAAGCCTGCATGTGGAATCTTTTAATT